AAATTTGTATTGAGAAAATTAATTTTGCTGCATTCTGAATGGTTGAAAGTTCGACTAACATGATCTACATAACAATCGTCCCCATCAACAATATAAAAGAAGAAGGGAAAATTGTTAAATGGATCCATAAGTTTTACAATTAAAATGTAATTTGTGAAAAACATAGGAAGAAGAATTTGAAATTGTAATCAATCATAACAGAAAGCTGATGCGAAGCTGCAGTTTACAAAAGACCCAAAAGCTTCAAATAAGCTTCACAAAAACCTTGAGAAATAAAAAAACCGCCGGCTTCGGTTTTCAAATGAACAAACTCCAGGTTTACAGGTTTACAGGTTTAAAGTCTAACGTCGAGACAACTTCATCAACGGACTTTGCTGTCCTTAAACATTAGAAATTTAAAAAGGCGGATAAAACACACGCTTATAATTTGCCAATTTGAAATGCTATGCGGCAAAATTTCCATCTAAATTGAACTCTAATTCATGCGAGTTGGGTCGAAAACAATTAAACCCGTAGTAAAAATTTTTTTTTTGTATAATAACTGAATTATAAATGTCCACAATGAAAGAGATTATCAAAAATTCAAAAATCAAATGCACCAAAAATAAACCATCAAAGCAGTTTCATGCAATTAGATCAATTACAATAGGTCTATAAAGGTTTTGCAGGTAACAATTGAGAGAACAAAACCAATTTGAAGAACACTTTTATTTTTGAGAAAAAGGTTCTCGTTTTAGGATTACAACTGATAGTTAAATCCTAACCCTTCCTGTTTGATATTTAAAAAAATGTGTAATCAAAAAATGGCCTAGAGAAACTGGAAAACGTTACTAGCAACAAGATGTTTAACCAAAGAAAAACAGTTCCAAAAAAGCTTAAAAAACTTTGCGAGAGCGACAAAAGTACACCCAAAAGGAATGTCAAATAATCTTGAAACTGTCTTTTGATACTCGAATCTAAAAAGTTCGGGTCGGTACATAAGGAAATTTTTTGGTTGGCGTTTTTAATTATTGGAGAGGGTCTTTTCCATATGAATCGATGCCTATAGTGATAATGAAATTCAATTATTTCAACTACAAAGATGCTGTGTACAGTAAAAGGAAAAAGTTAAGGTAATGAAACCAATTGAATAGACGCCAATTGTATATCAATGAACTTCTTCCGCCAGAACAAGCCAAATTGAAGCGAAAACCTGATAGTAGGTGATATGTAACATCAACGAGGACCTGCATAATAAGCAGCCTTCTGAGGAAGATGAATTGGGTTTTGTGTCAAAAAAAGATTTGTTACATTCTGGTCAGGAAAAAAATCAACACGATCTCAGATATTAACTTGTAAGACAAAAGTTTGAAAAAGGTTGAGAGTCTTGACTGTTTTGAACAGAAGATCAAATGAAAAAACAGACAATTTTTGGTATCTTAAGCTATGCATTTTTCAGTCCTAAAAGTTGAAGCAAATGACAAAAGTTTCATTTGGCGAGAATTCAATATTGGTGTGTGCAAAAAACGAAAAAAAAATGAAAACATAGGCAGGAAAAAAAAACAAATCAGATAAAATGTGTACTGAAAATTGCTTTGCAGTTCTTTAACAATATCATCATCAAGCATTTTTATCTCTGAAAAAAATATATTTCAAAAAATCGAATGCACCTAAAGTTTGAACAAAATAGATAAGTGTGAAATGTTGAAACAATACCAACACTTATATGCAAGCTCGCCCGCTGCCGATTCAACTGAATCTGATAGTCAGTCAGTTCTTTCCAGCAATACTCATCTCTGGTGCTGATGGAGGACAAGTTTGTGCAATAACCAATGCCTCTTACGTAAGAAGTGTGCAATTGCATCTTTAATTTCTGCTGACGATCTAATAAATACATGGGCCACAACACAAGATGTAAAATGCGAAAAAATTGGCGTTATTTAGATAACACAAAAGGTTGATATGTTGATAAAATAAATACCCGTGAATCAAAAAATTTCGCTTCATGTACCGACTTAGTAAACTATGAAACAGGAGCATCAAATTACAAATCCAAAATCAGTATTCATAAAACATTTATTATTCATTGCGGAAATTAGCTCAGGAAATAAACACACATATCGAATCCAGAAACCAATTTTTACAAAAACAAGAAATATCTTCATCGAAAGGACAAACTTAAAATCACAACTATAGCATTGAAAACAATACAAAACCCAATTCGTAAATATATCAAGATTTTAAGAAAAAACTAAGACGAAATAATTGTTCTGAAACTTTACAAATTATTCAAACGATAAGATTTGGAGAGCTTTTAGAAAAAAAAAGAAATCATGTCAATAAATATTTTTTTTTCACAAATTTAATTTTTATTACTAAAACGATTCAAACAATTTGCAAAGAAGCTCCAAAACAAAAGTCTTACAACTGTAGTGCCTTCACACGCACAAACGTCAGAGAAGTGTTTTATTCAACTTCAATTCTAACGAAGGACAGCCGTTTACTGTGTAAGCAGCACAAAACGTTCCGACCACAGCTTAGTGTTTTCTCAATTTCGTGTCGTTTTTTGCTTGTTGTGATTTAAACGTCTGAACAAAATAACAAAACTCAAGCATATTTGAAAATCATAGTAAAATAGGTCAAAGGGAAAACCGTTTTTGAAGAATCATTACTAGGGAAACTTTAAAAAAACTTTAAAAGAACAATTAAAAGTTTTTGAGTTTTAAAGTATTCGATTCCCAAAATTGCGTTAAAAAACTCCAAAAACTACCTTTATTTGAGTATAACTAAGTTTTCACGGCTTAAATTAAGCTTAAATAAGTTCTTGCAAGCACTAACTACCTTCCTAAATAGCTCGAAATTAGACCACAAATCAAAAAGTTCAAACCAGATTTTCTCCACACTGTGAGAACTTCTTTGAAATTTTTTAATGTCGTCGAATCACGACTGAAAGGGCTTTAATTTGATACATCATTCAATACTCTCCAATAAATATTTGTGGTAGCTGATTTTGCGTGGAAAACAAAAATTGAAAAGAAAATAAAACATACCCGAATACAAAGTTCCTCCCCAATTTCAATGGTCGGAACAAAAATAAACCAACAATCGATAGATTTTATTGACTTTATAAACTATTTTAAAACATCCATGACCAGTGAAGATTTTTGACACTGTTAGCCAATGGGACTAGTTCTAAATGATGTTTCCCAGATTGTCTGAAAGGTGATAAAGTAATTCCATTGTTCAGAAATGGGGGTTCAAACACTGATCTTGCGAAACATCATCATATATCACTGTTGCCGATTTTCAAGAAACTTTCGAAACAATTGTTTGAAAGAGATTGATTGTGTTCTGGAAAAGTACATATTTTGTTCAGACAAGCAAAACGCTAACCAAAAAAAAACAAAGTCAATCTCAAGGAAATATTTTGATAAAAATTGGAAAAAAAACAGTTAGAGATGCCTTTTGGCACAATTCCACACTAGCTGTTGCTAAAAAAGTGTTTCAATCAAGGATTAGGTGGAGCAAGGTATAACTTATTTATACTATGATTAGGTGAAAGACCGCAAAATTTTTTTCTGCAAAAAGCAATCGAACTTGAAATCTCCATCTTGAAAACTAAATGGAGTGACACAAGCTTCAGTTCTTGGTCCCATACATTTTCTAGTCAGTACAAGTGATATTTTTGATCAAATCAAAAACTCGCAACTAAATTTGTTTGCCAATGACACTATGATAACAGGCAACATTGAAACAAAGTCTCACTCACTGAAATTTGAGACAAGATTTAAATACGTTAGACAATTGATTCAATACTAGCCAACTGAAAAAAAATTGAGCTCTAAGCATTGTGATTCTTTATACACTGACAAAATATCTTACAAAGGAATCATCACTACAAGTGACTTGCAAAACTTTTATTAGGCCTGTATTTGAACACTGAGAACTGATATAAGGCACTTTCAACAAAGCTGTTCTTAAATACTTTGGGAACTACCAGCGTTTTTTCTATAAAAATTACTTTCATCTAACAAAAATTGGCAGTTTGTAAAAGGCAAGATATGAGAAGAAATTAATAACAAAGAAAGAGATTCATCGAAACAACTGATTAACTTTTCAGCAGAACTATTACGAAATGACGCATGTAATGATGACTTGCGTCAGCAATAACCAAAACTGAATTACAAAAATCACTCAGTGGTGAAAACATTATCAGTGTCCTCAAATCAGAACTTCCTAATTCAAAAGAGTTGTTGAAAGATCTAAAAAACAGATTAAGAGTGTTGGTAAAAGGAATCAATATTTTTATCGAAAACCTCGTTGATAAAATTGAGAAACAGCTCCAATGTATCTTAAGACTGTCTCTGTTATTATATTTTTCGATAATATAATTTTTGAAAACCTATAAAAATAAAAACGGAATTCTAATCAATATGATTCAAGAAAAATAGTTTAAAAATAACTTAAAGATTGTAGTAAAGTTTTAAACCTTTTTTCGTTTTTTAACGGTGAACATTTTTTCCTCTTTTCTTTTTCAGTTTAGTTGATATTTTGGATAAAACATTGTCTCATGTAATCCAATTTGCATTAATTTTTTTTGTCTGTTTACAATGTTTGAACGAATCTCTTGTGTGTTTTTTCAATATATCCTTTTGATTACTGAAAGTTGTCTTTGTTTAAGTGGATTAGAATTATATCGCAAGACCTGATAATCTTCTACTATTTGTTTCAATCTATGTAAACAGGAAAAAATTATTGTTTGCTTATCTCGATTCAAGTGACAGTTAAATGTTACAATCGCATTCCAGATATATACATTGAAGCTGCCTTGGTATGCCAAAACTAAAAACAAAATTGATTGAAAAATTTTGACATTACTTTAAAAATTAAATATATTGCCGTTTTTTTTTCTGATTCAATTACTAAAACGTTGTCCGTTTCTACACATATCTGATGATGTAGATTCCAGATGAATTATTGCAATTTCTGATGCTTCATGAGTTAATTCATTTCAATTCGGTTTAAGAATCCCTATTGATATAGTAGCTATCGATGGCGAAACTGTTGTTTTTACTCTGTTGCAGAAAACTCAAATCGTAGACGAGGAAATCCATTATTCTGATCTGGGTTGGATCCATGTAATGAAATGAGATTACTTTCTTCGACACGCCCTGAAACAAAACAACTTTGAATTCTTGTTAACTATCTTCCTATTGTAAACTTCGTTACAAGGTAATAAGTTTGCATACGCTAATTCGTTGAATTAGTCTTTTATAAGGGTGGCAATTCCTGGCAATTGTTAACTATTTTCCTACATTAAACTTCGTTACAAGGTACAAAGTTTGCATATGCTAATTCGTTGAATTAGTCTTTTATAAGGGTAACAAATCGGTACCATGGGGGAGGAGGGGGGGGGGGGTTGGATGTAGCTAACAAGATCTTAAGTATGTCTTTGTAGTATTTTTCCATGCCATTATAGACAACTGAAAAACGAACTATGTTTCATGATTAATTGAAATTTTTAGAGTTTTAACTTATGGCTTTAAAGAAGATTCGAACCTTATTACATGTACTTTCAAATGACGAGTCAATTATAGGTGAAAAATAAAACTAATAAATTAAAGATGACTATAAAACGCCACCTTTTTTGAGCAATTTTCAACTGACAAATTATGCAATCCAGCAACATTTAAAGAAATTCACTTAAAACAGCCAAATTAAATTTATCTTCGGAATCCAAAGGCAAAAAAAATTTGTCGGCTTTTTGTGTAGGTATCATTTAGTTGTAGAAATTTCTGAAAAACGTCTGTGAACAACACAAATGATGAGTCTGGAATCCAGATGCGTGAAAGCACAAATATGCGCTTAGTTATGAAAGTGAGCTTGGCATCGTAAAGTTTGGCCTTCATACAAAACATTAAAATCAATAGTTTACGTGCAAAGTCCATTTTTTCCATTGGTGCAAGGTGAAAGAGCCAAAAACTTCGACAAAGCATTTTCCTCGACTGCATTCTTCAGCCTAAAACTAAACTTGACCATGCATTCTTCCTACTGTAAGCTTCGTTACAAGGTAGAATGCTTCGTTTTAAGGTAAGCTAACTTACCATACAAAACACTCATTTTTGAACTAAACCAGGGGTAAAAAAAAGCTCAAATCACTTACAAACGCTTAAAATTTTCGATGAACCGGGTTGAGGTGCTCAATTTACTTTAGAATTTTTTGACCAAATTGGTATGCTTCGACCGTCTCGACAATATTTTGGATTGTTTTGATTTTTTCGGCCAGGTTTTGGTGTGTTTTGACTTTCTCAACCAAATTTTGGTATGTTTCGACTTTGTTCGACCCAGCTCTGATATATCTCCACTTTCTCGACCAAAATTGATATTTTCAATTTTCTCGACTCTCGGTCAATATTATAAAAAATTTTTGTTTGTTTTACCCCGCATAGACTTGTTTTGACTTTCGCGACCAAAAAATTGGTTTGTTGGTAACTTGTTTTTCGGTACTTTTCGACTATCCCATTTCTCTTGACAAAAACTTCAAAATTTATTTAACTATCTCAAATTTGTTCCACGCGTGACTAACATTTAGATCTATAATTGTTATCTCAAAACTTTAGATTTAAAAAATTGAGCTTAATTTGTTATCAAGTACTTTGGAGAAAATGGCAAGTTAAAAGGCCACTTTTATCTGTTTAAGGAAAAACTACCCGAGCTCAAACGATTGGTCTTTTTCTTCGAAAGTCTTCTTCAGGGCTGTTTGTATCAGGGCACAGCCATGAGTTTAACGCTCTGTAAAGCGGTTAAAGTAGTTGCGGATAAATTTGAAAAAAAACAAGAGAAATGAAGTAAGTCAATTTTTTTTCAAATCATCTCATGGGAGGTGATACAAAAGAGACACGTAATTACACTCACATAGTAAGTCTCAAAAACAATTGCAATGATTTTGAAATGGCATAAATTGTCGCTAATAAGAGTGCGGCAAATTATTCGACCCTGTTGGACCCATGACTCGACCTTGTTTGATTCTATCAACTCATAATTCGACCTTTTTCAAATGAAAGACATAACGTACTTTCTAATTTACGTATTCAGACATCGTATAAAGTTTCGCAAAAACTGACGGATGTCTTATTTGAACCGAAGTATTTGGATTAGCAACTTGGCTTGTCAGAAAAATTTCTGGTTTCGAACGAGTGAGTCGTATTCAGTTCAGAGGTTACTATTAGGGATCAATAACTGATCTGTACTGAAAAAAATTAACAACTAGCTTTCCGTAAAAGAGACGGCTTTGAGATCCTTCGGTCCATGGTAGTCGTCTATCATTGTTGCTTTTGTCATTATCAATCGACGAAGGATCTACTTCATAGGAAAAATTTTGATTAGCAAGTTTAGTTTTCACACAGCCCTCGGTATGAGACAGCTCCGTTTCAAGAAATTTTTTCTGAGCGTATAAGTTGTTAGAAGTGTGGACAACTTCATTGTTCAATATAAAATCGTAATTGGAAAACATTGAGTGTAAAGAATTATTACAGAATGCAACTTTTGAAGTATCTGTAATATTTCTCGTAGTTGTTTGAGCTGCCAGATTATTACCGACATTATTTATTGTAGCTCCAATTTTCAATTACATAATCTGCAAATCTAGATAAATGTTGTGATCGGTATTCAACAAAAAGTCAACCACTGTAGCATCATCGGAAGTGATGGGAAGTGTATCCTGTTCATATGAGTTATCAAATGTCACCAGCACTTCGAGTCTGTTAAAATCGATGTGCTGCTTTGGGAATTTCTATATTTAATAGGGAAGCTTTTTGAAAATATCAGGTTTTCGTTTTGTAGGCTTTTGTTTCTTTGCTTTGGATGACCGACTGTTTAGAGACGCGGTTGTCTAAATACTGATGCGTAACCTAAGGTCACTGTCTGGATCAGACGTGTCTCCTTGTAATTCACCGACCAAAAGATCAAAAAAAGCTTCAGAACTGCCTTCCAGTCGGATTAAAAAAACAACAACTTAGGTTGGCGATGCAGTAAAGCAATGGCTCAACCAACTCCCAGTTTTACAAGCAATCAAAACATCACCTGAGTCACCAGAGTCACCGCGAATACACAGACGATGGATACGGATAGAAAAAGAACCTCGATTATGATAAAGATGGCTGAGAAAACGCCACAACCAAACTCAGCTATTAAACCGAGACAAAACCTAGGACCAACACAAATATTTGACAACACGTGGGCGGTAGGTTTTGTAGATGACAGTACAGAAGATGACAGAAAGCAACTTCAGTCAAATCATGGTGAAAGATTGGTAGAAAAATATAGTCATCTGGCTTAATAACTTTATTTAAGTTGAGGAACCGGAAAAAGCAATTGCAATAGCCGTTGTAGATGACCAGAAAAATTTGATTTATGAACTTTGATATTCAGTATATTATCTATATATGCGAACTCAAATTACTTTTTAATTGCAATTTTTTATATTCCTACTTTTGTGTGAGCTTAGAGTTTTCAATCTGTGATTTAGTTAGTTTGATATTCCTGCAGAAAAAAAACTACTTTTATATGAATTATACCTAGCAATTTATCAAACGGTAAAATGTACAAAGTCGTTTCAGTCTTTTCTTTTTTTCAATCTGATTTAAAACACCAAAACTAACTTTAAGTTAATCTGGGAAAACATAATTCAAAAAACCTAAAACGGGGGATTTGAAAGCTCGAACACAACAAATGTGCCGACAAAACTTACGTTACACTCATATGTACGCGGAATCCACGGAATTTTTCTAAGTGGAATACACTTACATTTTTGAACATGTTTAAAGATCAGTTTTTGGAATCCAGGAACAGGCAGACACAAAGTTGTGCGCCTATCCAGTGCACAGTTTGGCCTCGTAATGAGAGCCCCGAAGAAATATAATTTACTTATACTGACCGTAACTATTGGGTCGTTGGAGAATTTGATGTACCAGCTCGGAAAAGGTCTGTGCTGGATTGAGTGACTAATTGGGAAAGATGAGAACAGATCTCGTCCGTCTTCATCCACTGCTTTGCCTGGATGTATTCCAATTGCAGCCAGACAATTTCCTGGAAAATCCAAATATTTTGTCTCTTGCGCTACGAGTTTACTTTTTACAAATCAGTGAAATATTCTGGGAAATCTGTCAATCAAATTTTCTAAATCGAATTCGAAGACAAAGCTCGAGTTTTTGGGAAAACTTTTATAAGCCTGAACTTTGGGTTTTAGATTAACGTTTTTGAATCTAAAAAGTTTGATTCAAACTTTTTAGATTTAGATCCAAAGTTTTAGAGTTTAAAAAATTCTCACTTAAGCAAATAGTTGAGAGGTTGAACCAGGTAAAGAATCACCCCCCCCCCCCCCCTCCCATCAATTTTGAAAGGAGATCATTTATTAGATAAAACACTCTCTTTCAGCCAATCAGACTTCACCATTTTGCAAAATGGCTAAATACTTCAATTTGCTACTCAAATTTAATGGGCTGTCGTTATTTTAGGGGAGAGGGCTTGGGGGGATATAGATTGCTGGCGTGGATCAAGAGTTTTCCTACTTTTGCCGAATAATCAGGTTTGTTAAGCCATGTGTATGATGAATTTCGTTTTGGAAGAAGATCTGAAACTTTTTTATGACCTGGTTCACATGATAAGTATACACCAAGAGATGTTGTCACACTTACCCATTAAAACGTCCTCCACACCATTAACCATGGTCGCTTTACATTTTTTTCGCCGGGTTTTTGACGAAGTTTCTTTCTGAATTAAACTTTCCAGCATAATCAGCGATTGGCGACTTAGAACGTAACCAGCACCTCCGCTCGTATACCCTCCATATGGTTTGTAATGCTTTCCAAAGTAATGAGGCACGTCTGGGTTGTGATTGGCCAAAAATATTTTCAGATTTTCAACTACGACATAGGTATCGTCGTCCGTTTTCATGAACCAATCAAAATCGTTTAAATAATTTTGGTGAAGATAGCGAAAAGTGGAAACTGTTTTCGACCACAGAGCTTTGTAGCCAGCGTGAACACCTGGCGGAGCTAAGGTAGGAAATGAAGTATTGTTTTCGTCACTGATGAAAATCGTTTCATCACATCGTTTTGCCCATGTTTCTTTGATTGCTTGTGCTTTTCGTGCCAGATTTTTACTGCAAGTTTCGACAAAACAGAGAACTCGAATAGATTTTTGGATTTCTTTGAAAGACACTTGATGTTTGTTCGTCGTCAAGATATCTGTATAGAAAACAAAAATTTATTTTAAAATGAAGTTTAAGCAGGGGCGAAGCTGCACTTTGCTTATAAAAAATCCAACAATTATGCTACAAAAAAAAAGATTTTGCCGCCGAAGCGATTCAAATCATCGTTTTTCAGAATTATAGTCCAATATGTTGATAACAGCGCCATTTCCACGATCTCACTTCTTAAATCAGCCACCATCAGAGCAGATAAAAACACATGATATAGATTGCTAATGCTGAAATGCTCAAAAGCTTTGCAAAGTGTGGGTTACTTAACCATGGGAGTCCATCCTGGAGCCAGGCTTGGCCAGGGGAAAACCATTATCAAAGTTTTGAGGGATTGCCTTGGACCTTGTGGATTAGTCTAAGAGTTCAGACCGGGACTTTTATGATTTTTTGGTTAACTTGCAAATGTGAAAAAAACAGACCGAAATATATTTTCACTCAAGAACACCCACCGGTCATTTGGCAAGTATCTCGGAGACAAACTGCAGTTCTTGATTCATCATTGAATTTAAGTTTTGAACCTTGCACAGGTTTATGATAAAAAACACAACTTTTTCTGTGTGACTAGATAGCTTCTACAGCAAAAAAACTGTGTTTTAGAATATTTGGGATATGTTTTGACATATTTAGGCTTATATTGCCATTTTTAAACAAAAAAACTAATAATGGTTCCCGCACAAAACTGTCATTTCAATTTTTGGTTCTTGTGTGTAAAAAATTGAGTCTGGGTTACCTTATACGCCAAAATAACTAAACTTTTGCATGCATGTTTTTTCTGAAAATGTTTGTTTGAGCCTAAGCATACCTTTGCGCCGACTAAAAACTTATCAAAAATTTTTGTATAAAAATTGGTGTTCAACTGGATTTTCTGGAAGCGTACTTGCCATGTGTTCAGGCCTGGTTTTTCAAAATTTCCTGTCTTAGACTTCAAGGCAAGGTTCCTGGATGGCCCCTGCTAGAAATTCCACAATTGCCTTGAATTCTTTAAATGGTTGGCAGAAATTCTATGTTTTTTCATGGCTTTGTAACACGGGAAGTGCAAATTTGCAAAGAACTAATTTATGAGAGTTAGATTAAAGGAGAAACGAACTCCTAATTAATAAAAAACGCTTGCTTTGTAAACACAGAGGCGAAGCGTAACTATGCGCTACTTGCGGTACATCACAAGCAGCATGGCAAGCTGGCCGATGAGAAAAACGATCATTGAAAAATCAAAAACAATTTGGAAAGTATCGAATAATGATGTCAAAGATTTTCATATCTGTCGACTTTTATATCCTTATTGGTTCAAAAGAAAATTTTAAAAACAATTCTCATTATTAACCTTGCACCTTGCAGAAATTACAAAAACGTACAAACTCGTGAACATAAAACCTAGATGCTCGTTATTATGTCAAAACGAATGATGAATGATTTCATACAAATCTTAGCTACAAATTATTGAGGTTTTTAGCTATTTCTAAGCCTGATAATATTTTTTTCTGCCAACAAGGGGCATAAAAGCCGATATGACACAAATTAAAACTTTCTTATCTGAGCAAAAAAAAAGTTTTGCGAAAAAAACTATAAATTTGAGCAGAGTTGGTAAAAGAGCAGAGTTTGTAAAATTACAAATTTGTAAACAAAAGATCATTTTATACACTATCACCCAAAAGATCATGTTCCCAAAAAATATTGGTCAAATCGATTAGTCAAAAGGTTGAACTTGCGCTTTTTTTCATCCGGAATTAGTTTTATTCCTAAAAAAAATTGTGTAACAATTCATTTTCTATATTTTTCTCCAAATAATAACGGCGCAACCGATCAGGCAAATTTTGATTCTTTACAAAAAATTGTTTTAAAACTCATCAAAAATTGACATCCAATAATAAATAGTGAGTTTATTCCTAGAGGAAGTTGATCCGCATCTAGTTTCAAGCATTAGTAATCAATTATAAGACGATTTTGGTAACAGTCTTAATAAAATTGCGAAACAATCGAGTTTAATCAATTAATAATTGATTATAATCTCTCTTTTTAAAATCAAATTATTATTAATTATAATACATTATAATCGACAATAATAATCAATTGTTTATTCGTCTTTTTTATACAATAATAATTAATTATAATTGATTATAATCCATTATTTTCATTCCAATTTCCAATTCATTTGTTTTGCACACAAATCTATTAGAATGGATTATAATTGACTATAATCCTTTTTGTTCGTCCATTTTGTCTCCGAAGTTGCTTCTTTTATGCTTTTTATAGACCCTTTTCACTAGTATGAAAGGATCTCTATGAAGCTTTGTGTTCAGATGAACTAACGTGTTCAAGAGATCTCTTTTTTAGAAATTTTCTTATTGACACAAAATTAATAACCCAAAAGATATAATTTGAATATATTTTGGTTTGACAACATTTTGGCAAAATAAGAGATTATAATTGATTTTAAGGGTTTTTTATAAGAATTATAATCAATCATAATCAATTATAAAAGATTATAATCTCTTGGAAAATATCACGATTATAATCAATTATAAACACTTTAAACATCTTTTTTGGTAATTATAATCAATTAAAAATTGTCAAAAAATCCGTTATAATCGATTAATTTACGCCTAAACTTGGATCTTTAAATTAAACTGAGAAATTATATAGAAATCTATACCTCTATTCTCCATCACTCTGTTATGTTGAAGATTTCGCCTAATTGATATTAGTCCATTCCGTTTCCCAGATTCAGGCAACAGTAGCGGTGATAAGTTCATAGGAGCTGCTAAACAGTATTAAACAAAAGAAAGTCAGTCACATACAATTATATGAAAACTAGTCATGTGGATTGACAATCCTGGTCACTTGTGTACAAGGAAAATTACTATTAAAAATTCTGTCTCCGAAACGAGAAAATCCATGCAAATTCATACAAATTTTCAGATATGAAAAAATTCACGCTAGGTTCGCTTCTTTCTAAACAAGTTTCAAAAGGCTTTAATATGACATTTATGTCACACGACCCATTTTAGTTCCTGATTTTTCGACGTGGTCAGAACAATAAAGATGCCAAAAATAGCTGATTAGTTTGGTTCAGTTCAGTAGCAAAATTTTTGACAAAAATTAAAATAAATAAATGTTTTACCTCGAAAATAAAATTGGAGACTTCGTGTGTCGGTTGCCCAGTATACGAGGTAAAGAGCCCACGAACTTGTTACGACCGTGAACAAAATATTGAACAGAAACCGATTGTACATATCGCAAGTGGACCGAAATTTAAGTTTAAAATCAGTTGTTTTATATTTGTAAAGTGTGAACGAAAATTAGCATTGAAAGAAATTAATTAAAAAATAGATGTTTCCATTTGTGTTTAAAAATTCTATTGATAATATTTATTCATTGCACGAAAAAGTGAATTTCGAAAAATCGCAGGTTTCACTGAACAAATAAGCATGCGCATGATTGGTACGAAGCGAAGAACTTTTTACTATGAAGTACGGTCCACTGAAAGAAAGCGGCGCTGAAAAATTAAGCATGAATGGAGTCGTTCTTAATTACAGGTTTTTGCGACAGGTTAACAAAAACATGGTGATGACGTGATAACAATCTCTGGCAAGGAATCTCAATTGCTTATGCTTTTTTAAGCCTTGCTTACTTTTTGTACTGAGCATACAGTTAGGAATACCCTATCTTAGTTTTTCTCGCCACCAAAGCAACTTTAGATTGAGTCCACCCGAACTTAAGTGTTCAGCCCAATTTCAAGCTAAATTTGAGCGGTTTGAGCGAGTTTTTAGATGATTACGCTAAAAATCTTGCTTAAAATGAGCAGTTTGTGCGGCTTTGAGCGACTTCTTGAAAAACGTTGAATGGTTTCCAATTCAACTTTTAGGAGACGTAATCAACCTTGACAACTATTTTTTGGGCACTAGAACCTCTTAGGTTGTTTTATGATTTATATTGTGATATTGTGGTATGTAAAGTTCAGACTTTTTTGGGGCTGGTTGTGTGCGCTGCAACCGGGAAAAATTTCTTGGGATAAAATTTTGAAAAAAGCTTAAGAGCTTAAGATTTGAGCGGTTTGATAGTCTCTAGCATTTAAGCGGTTTTTGAAAGGAATGTGCGGTTTCAGCTCAATCATCTACAATTTGTTTGTCCTAAGCAAGTTTTGAGCAGGTATCGACTAATACCATCAAGGAAAGATTTAGCGCGTTGATTCCCTTTAAGGTAACCTTTTTTGGGCAACCAACACTAGAATTTTTAACTTATAAATAATAGTAAATTCCAAAGGGAGGAAGATAATGTGAGTAAAATAAAAAGTTTTTTGGTAGAAAAATTGTTCTAAAAACATTTACAAAATACAGTTTTGTAGAACTTAACAAAAACTGTTGAAAATATCACTGCAACTAAAAACCTTTTGTAGCCAAACGTTCTTAATGCTTTATTCCTTTACTATCATAAACAAAAACAACTGAAAAGTTACAAACAATTTTGAAACTGATGAAACCTCTAGTTTATAAGAGTATAATTTTGTCTCGCAAAAAACTGTTGCTTCAATATTTGAGTCTTGCGAAGTGCCCTGAAAATAGGCAACTATACGATAAAGCACGAGTATTTGACAGACTTGAAGAAACTAAGAATGTTCATAAGTAAAAACATTGATGGCCGTTGATGTACAGGTAGCGCAATGTTATGTTATAACGTTTTAATGTGTTAAATCTTTTTTTCCATGATTGCCATTATATATTTTTTACAAGTGCAATTCAATTAGGTGAACTAAAACTAGAATGAGTGCTAGGCGTAACTTAAAACAGTTTTAATTTTTAAAAAAAATTGATTCCGAGGTTAGTTTTTATTCAAAAACTGTATATTTTACTGCAGAAAAAGTCTTAAAAAAGTCAAAACAAAAAAGGAAACATCTTTTGTTTAGTTGTTTCAAGAGCCGTTATCAAAGTTGAAAGTTATTCAATGTAAAAGCACAATTGAGACAAGTTTTTATTGAGACAGTCAAACCCGGCAAAAACAAGCCTAATCGAAAGTCAATCAATAAACGTTTTGCTAGGATAGTTTCACAAAGTTTTGTCAAAATCTAGACAAAAAGAGGCGTATAGCATATACCTAATTAGAAATGTTCAGATACCTTTAAAATTAGAATATCACATTTTTTCCAAATCTAAATAGCATTCGGAATTGTTTTCTCAACAGTCAACTAAAAATGACCGGAGCATTTCTTCTCGGCTATTTTTGAGAAAATTTTTATGACATCGATAAAAACCATCATTTTGGAAAATCTAAGGGTTATATAGATACATATCCGTAATTGCGAAATACTCGACAGCGCAACCTGAAACAAACATTTGATTATTTGTTTCAGGATTCGACAAGTTTTTTCTAGATTTCGGAAATTTTTTTTTGGATAACGCAAACTTTTTTAACCCAGCATTTTTAGCGCTGCTACGGTTTAGCTAAATTTCTCTGGATTCAACCACTTCAAAAAATAAGAGAAAAAAGCCTGGTTTTGGATTCTATAACAGAACTTTGTTCACGCTCGTGGTGCACACTCTCAAAATACACAGTTCAGCCTCGTAACAATTTTTAAGTTTATTTTTTCCCTCAATATACGGTATTTATACAAAATAAAAGTTGACCAGCAAAATTCAGACATTTTTTCGGATTAATTGAAAATTGAAAAAGAAAATCTTTGTCCGGTTAGCTCAAAAACTTGGCTTTTTTTCAATTAAAATCTGCAACGGTAGATAAGTTATTCAAGTTTCATGAATTCAACAGAAAACTTTTAGTGGAAATCCCCGGTCATTTGACAGATGACCCTGGCGTCTATACTCAAGAACAAACTTAAGAAACTTAATTCAAGACCACTTTTTGAAGCAATTTCTCAAATGTGTTGATTTTTGAGAATTAGTTGACTTTTGGAAACTAGCAAAACGTTCTGTTAAACCTATAGAAAGCTCAATTTCTGCAAATAGGTGAAGTCATCACAGCCGAACAACTCTATGTAGTAAGAAATTCAGCAAAAGGTGAAGCTTAATCTGTAGAAAAAAAAAGCAAAAAAGAACACGTTTTGATTGAATTATAACAACAATCAGGAAACTGTCAAGATGAAAAAACAGGAATCCATCAATCAGCAGATATCTATTTAGGCAAAGAGAAACTTATGCAAAAAGAAATAGCTTTCAGAAGAACAACTCAAGAAAAACAGAGTCTGAAATTGTTGCTTTTGAAAAAAAAACTGAAATCAAAAATCAAAAGGAAGGAATTGAGTAAAGCCCAAAAATTAGTGAGCCAACAAATTTTAAAAGCCGAAAGTTGAAGTTTGAAAATCCGGCAACGTTTTCTGATGTCAAGTTTTGTGACGCTAATGTAAACATACAACTTTATTCTAAAAACAATTTTAAAAAACTCAATTCAAGTAGCGCTGTATCATACAAAACGACTGATATTAAAAAAAAAACTGCAATTTTTTTCGGAAACAAAATCACTTTATTGTTAAACACTTCATTGCCAAAAAAACTAAAAAATTTAAAATTGTTTTAGGAAAAAACGAATCAGAAAGAAAGTACAAGATGGAAATAAAAATAATCAAAACACTTCAGTGCAATTTATCATGTATAGATAAAGCAGAAAGATTTTGGGAGTGAAATAATGAAAAATGGTTGCTGAAGAGCTGGTTCTAAAGTTTCGCATTGTATTTTTACATCAAAGAAACACAAAACTTCTAGTTAAGGGCAGTCAGTTCGATTACTAGCCTAACTTTCATGGACGAAAAGGAAACTGGTGCCATATAAATATCCGATATGTCAAAGATCCGAAAAACCAAAAAGTGTTGCAACCATTTGAAAAACAGCTTTACTATAGCGGCGAACATCCGACAATTTAAAAAAAAAATAAAGCAAAAAATCTGATTTCTACCGTTTGTTTACCAGATGCTATAGTGTTCGAAGGAAAGCGGTTGCCGTCGTCATGTAAACGTTTCGCTAGCTTTCCAACAGAGGGTAGGAATCGATTTCAAACTCAGAGCCGGTTATCGCCCACCGACGACATTATATAGCGCGCCCACCGACGACCTTAAACCGAGAGTAGGCTAAGTTAAAATCTGTTAATAAAACAACGTCTTGCTTTTGCAATTTTACAGTCATTTTATCACATAATTAATATATATGTTCAGATTATTGACAAAGTTGACGTTTGACATATCGGATGTTTGCCGTACACCCCAAAAAAAAACGTTTCAAAGGGTTTAAAATTTATACAATTCAAAAAATAAATTTTTAATTTTTTGGAATAACTTTGAAATAAATAACAGAATTAAAACAGCGGATCTTCGCGCCAATACCATGATAGATAGTTGAAGACCAACCGTCAGATAATGAGATTAAATTCACTTACTCCAAAAAGTCGCCAAAAATTGTCCAACAAACGACATCTATCGAGATTTTTTTTAAAAGCTAACTTAAAGAAAACATTCCGAGAAAGACAAGAGTCAGTTTTCAATTAGCATTGAAACAGAAGCTAACAGGCTCTTACAAAATCGAATTTAATTGGGCACATTACCGTTGGTTCAAAAAACTCTAAAAAAAGCTGTTATACGTTTTGAATCTTGCGCATTTAAACTCAATTGAAAAGTAGCTCAAGAATTAGAAACAAAATCATTCTAAATTTTCAAACGAGGAAAATTGAAAATGAAGATCCAAGAAAAAATAGAGCTAGATGGCTTGAATCGGAAAAAAAACATGTGCAGCAAAACAGTCAAAATTGAAATAATACTAAAAT